GCTAGTCCTGTTCCATGGATGAGAAAACCAAGGCTGGGAATAGGGGTGATGCTGGCTGTGGCTACTCATCTAAGAGCCAAACCTACCATCTCCACTCTGGATTCTTAAGTCGGGTTCATGAGCTGAATAAGCCCAGGCCTCTCCCAGAGCCAGACCCCCACCCACTTTCCCCTGGCCAGAGGCAGGACGCAAGTCCCAGACTCTCAGGACCTTCTTGTCCTCATTGGAAAAATGAGGCACTGGAGTTGGTGTGCCCAGCGAACCAATGGACAAACAGAGGCAGAGAGGGGCACTGCGCTGAAACACTGGGGCTCCTATGAGGCGCCACCCAGGCTGCTTGCTTGCAGAGGCCCTGCTCCTCCTGACCCACCTTCCAGGCTGAGATGAGCACCCTTGCCGAGCCCCTTCTTTCTCTCCCAGGAGGTCCTGGGGTCCCCTCACTGGGTTGCTGGGCCACACAGCCCCCAGTTCTTGCTGGCTTGGTCCAGACCCTTCCAGAGTGTGGGTGGGAGGTGAGAAGGTGAGCAAAGGCAGCTCCCGCAGGACCCTCCTGGCTCTCCCCTCTGACAAGCAGCATGCCAGGGCTGGGTAGCAGGAGGGGAGGGCTAGTCAGGCCACAGGGGAGTGCCAGGGGCCACTCTTGATTCCCCCTCACAGTTCCTGTATCCAGGGGCTGTGGATCACAGGGTCGGGGCCCACATGTATTTGCATGCTGGGCTGTCCTGGGAGATAGCACGGGAAGAGGGACTTCTCTGTCTCAGATAAGTTGGAAACCACAGTTCTGACCCCACCAACTGACCATGAAGAGATAGAGGAGAAGGAAGGGGGGAATAAGGGAAGAAGGAGAGAAGAAAGGGGAGGAGGGGAGGAGAAAGGGAAGGGGAGGAGGAAGAGGAAGGCAGTGGCAGCTGTCTCAGGGAACAGGTGTTTCCCTTTGACTCACAGAACTGCTCAAGGGGGCAGGTACTACCATTATTCCCATTTCGCAGGTGGAAAAACTGAGGCTTATGCAGGGCAGGCCATATCTCTAGTCCCATGGCTAGTAAGTGGCAGATCTGAGCAAGCCATGTCCATTTCACTCCCTTTGGTCATTTATCAGAGTTCCAGTGAGCCCACTATGGGAGCAGGACAGACCCAGCCTGCTGTCAGAGGGATCTCAGGACTAAGAAGGGCCAGTTATGGCACAGACTGGTGACAGTGGCCAGCCAGGGGCTCTGAGCACTGGAGCAGCCATGCAGAGGCCAGCAGACCAGACCATTTGTGAGATTGAACAAAGCCAGAGAGAAGTCACCAAGTCTCAGCTTGGACACGGGCCCTGATGAGGTGCTTGGCCCTGGGGACAGCTGGCTTTCCTCCTCCTCAGGGCCACATACACTGTTTGGAGGTAGCTGAGCTATCATCCAACAGTATAGTTGAGGACCTGGTACCTGAGCAGGTGTGATGTGCCCAGGGCACACAGCCAGGAGGAGGGAGTGCTCATTCTCAGGTATTGGTGCCCTTGGTCCTGGAACCGTCTTCAGTCCAGGGCACTCCCACCTGAGAGAGCCATCAAGGAGCTCAGGAGAGTGGATGTGTAGCTGTGGCCTCAGTTTTTCCCTCTGTAAAATGGGGACAGGAGCCACTGGGTGCCTCCTATAAGGTCTAGGGGCAGGGTGGCCAGGCTGGCCTGTACACGGGCCCAAGCTGGGGTCCGTGGGGTTGGTGATACCAATCGGCGAGGCAACAGCTGCCTCCACGAGGAGGCCTGTCGATGGCAGATAGGCCGGCCGGGAGTATTATTCACAAGCCCGTCAAGCCTGGGACGTCTGGTTGGCATAGAAACAGGAGATAAGGGGCACAATTAATGGCATCACATTCCCTCCTCCTTTCTTCCCCAACTGACCCATTTAAATCCCTGGCGAGCTCTGTGCCATGTTGGGTTCCTGGTGACCTCCGGGGAGGGGCTGGCGGGCCCGGAGGTCTCAGGCCCCGGAGAAGGGCTGGGTGAAGCCTCCCTAGGGGCTGCCCCTGAGCAGGAACATTTCAGAAGGAGGCTGCCTGCCAGCCGGCAAGGCCAGGACTAGGGAAAGACCCAGAGGCCTGTGCCCCTAAGGCCCATTTCCTAGATGTGAAGACTGAGGCCTGGGGGCAGGCAGAGGCAGGAGGATGGTGAGAAGGGCATGATGTTCACAGACACACTGAGTAAGAGCACAGCCAGGACCCATCACTTTTTAGGGGAGAACCTTCTCTGTGGTTCACTTTTCCCAGATGAAAAACAGTGATAAAAATAGGACTTGCTTTAAATGAACACAGAGCTGCCCAGTGTGGCTCCCCAAGTATTAGTTATTATTAATATTACTAGTAGTGTCAAACAAACGGCTGAGCTGTTGGTATTCCCTAAGACCCAGGAGTGCAGGAAAACCACCACCAGCCTGGAGCCAGGGCGAGGCCCCACAGCAGCTCCAAGGGGACAAGAGTTTGGGCTCCAGTGTTCCCAGAGCCCTGCTGGAGCACAGGTTCAGGGGCAGGGGCTGTGAGAGTCCCTCCCAGTCTCTAATTCCTAGGACTCTGCAGTTGACCAGGGCTAAGGCCAGCTTAGGGCAGGACTCATACCCCTGCTGACCCTTGAATGGCAGATACTCGACACCTGTTTTTCAGACAGTGAAAAGGGATGTGGAAGGAGCTTGCCCAAGGTGGCCAAGCACTTTGGGTGGCTGGGCTACTGAAACCCCTTCCAGCATTCCCTGCCATCACGCTGTAAGGTGGTCCCAGAGTCTTGACCCGTGGGGCCTCCCACACTGGGAAGGGGAGTGTGGACAGCTCTGTGCACACAGCCCCTCTTACGGTTATAAAGTACCTCAGAGACCACCCCATTGTCCTCTAGGCCTAGCCAGACTCTCTTTGGACCTGGAACTGGAAGGGGCCCCTGCCAGGCATGGCCAACACTGTGACCAGCCTTGTGGTGGGCGTGGGTGCTGGAGAGAGCAGGCAGGTGCCTGCTTGGAGTGAATTAGTCATCCTGTGGTCACCAATAATTTGTTTAATCAAACTCTGAGAATGTGTGAAAAACGCCCTCCCCTGAGATGGAGCATTGGAGGGGGTGGTAAGAGAACCCCCCCAGCCTGGTTTCCGTTGGCATTTGGGACGTTTGTGCTCCCATTACTTTCAGCCCCCACCTGGGGGCTCCCAGCAGCCCTGGGGACTTATTCCTGACCTGGCCTTTTGGGGAGGGAGCCTGAGGTTCGATCCCAGTCCCCCTACCACCATACCTGTGCCCAGATGGGTCTCAGTCCCCTTTCATTAAATTTGGCCTGAACCTCTCCTGGTTCTTGTCTCTGGGTACAGCGCTGAACCCCTTTGGCTCCCCACACACAGTGTCACATGCCTTGCAGCCCTTCACTCCCCTGGCTATAATAAGGAATCATTGCCCCATTTTTCAGAGTTGGAAACTGAGGCCCTTCCCTGACCTGACTCCCCACTCTGTTCTCAGGCCTGCTCCCCAATTCACTCGGCAGCCTCTTGCAGGCCAGCACAGCAGTGTCTGGGGCCCAATGCTTACATACAGCCAGTGCACAGACCTTCCCTCCTGCTTGGGGAACCTGCTCAAAAAGGCATCAGCACAGCGGGTTCCCCCCAAACAGCCCCAGCCATGGAAACCACCTTGATATTTTCTCTTTCAAGAAAACTCGGAGCAGGTTACACCTGATACTTGCAGGGAGCCAAAGCCCAACATGATTCATGGGGGAAAAACACTCTTTCCCCTTCCGAGGTGACAACCCACCTCTGCCTGTCTTGCACCATCTAAAAGGAATCAAGGCGGGGCGTCCTCCCTCCCCCAACCTCCTGGTGGGGCAAAGTCAGTTTTCTTCCTTCCTGACAGGCTGTACTGCCAGCTACGGGGCACGGATCAACTTCTTGGGAATTAAGCGTGTTTGGGGAGCAAACTCCAGACGGACCAGAGCCGGACGGCTGCTTCCCCCACCCCCTCGCGTTCCAAGGCGCCCGCTCGCCAGGCCGCCACGCCCCCGCGCTGCAGTTGCCTCGAACCCTGTCGGGCCTGGTGGCCGCAGATAAGGACTCTTATCGCCCTTGGCGATCGCCATCGGCCCGACAGGGCTGGTGCTTATCGGATCTCACATCGACCAGGGCGGGAGGAAAGCTGGCGAGCTAAGGGGCGCCGGGGGTCTCGAGCTGCGCCCTGCCCTGCGCTCTGCGCCAGCGCGGCCAGGCCTATCGCCTCAGCCATCTGGCCGGCCAAGGCCGCGCTCCCGCCTCGCCCTCCCCCGGCTCCCACGTTTGAAGTTAATAAATGGAAGCGCCTATCACAGCCACCATCAGTTGCGCGCCTTATCAGCGCGGCACATCTATCTCCGCGCGGAACAAAAGGCGCACAGAGGCGCGGGCAGCTGCGCCCCAGCTTTGATGGAGGGGGGAGAGGGGGGGTGGCCCGACCCAAAGCGCTCCGCCCCACTCCCGCTGCACCCACAGCCCGGCCGCAGGTGAGGCCAGGGCAGGCGCAGGCCGCAGCAAGGGCCGCTAGCGCAGCCGCTGGCAAAGGGCGGCAGGGCGCCGCCGCTTGGTGACAATCAGCCTTCGCATCTTAACGTGCTGAGATCTGCCAAGGGAAGGAGGTGCCCAGGGCCTGCAGCTGCAGGGAGGGTCCGGGCCCGCCTCCTAGGTCTGGCCTCCTCCCCTGCCTGGGTACTACAGACGTAAGGGTTAGCTTGGGGGCCTGGGTCCCAGTCCCCAAGTGCAGACTCAGCCTGACCAGTTGGGTTGGGCTCTCGCTGGCTCTTGAGCCCTTATCAGCGCTGGCAATCGGTTCCCAACCTGCGATCTCCCTGCCTGCGCTATCTGCATTTCTCATCACTCTGAGACACACACACACACACACACACACACACACAAAACCACACAGAGGCACACAGGGGAGGAGGGGAAAAGAAACCAGAGAGCCGGTGCAGACCGGGACCTGTGGGTGGTTTTTAATACGAGTTGACATGATAGAAGGCGACTTTCAGAAAACAGGTCCCAGGTGCATCGGGGGAGTTGGGTTATGGGAACCTGGATTCATGCCTGCGTTTCCCCCACCAGAGACTTCTCACAGGTGAGCCCACATGGGGTGCTGGTGGCAGTGGTTATGTGGACAGATGAGGCAGTGCTCTGGAGTCTGGGGACGGGCAACAGACTGGCACCCCCTGGTCAACTCCTGGCAGGCAGGGCACAGATGACCTGCCAGTTTGGCCTGGTGAAGGCGACCCTGGGAGGAAGCCCTATGCCTGGCCCTGGTCTCTGAGGTGCAAAGTTATTAATGAGGTAGGGTGGAGGGGTGCTTCCTGTGTCCTCACTCCCTAGAGTGGCTCAGCAGCCCAGTGGCCCCAGGAGTGTGGGAGACTCCTTCAGAGGCATTGGCCATGCGGACATGCAGCCTAATTCTGCAGAGAGCTGCTCTTGGGCTCACTGGCAAGACACTGGGCCTGGCCCAAGTGCCTGGGCTGCCTCCCTGACTGTGAGCAACACTCTTGGATGCCAGGGAGTGCCTGTGGGCAGCTGGGGAAACTATTTGTTGCTCATGCCACCTTGGTCAGGACGGTAGGAGAGCCAGGAGAGGGCAGGCAGGGCTTGCGTTCAAGTCAGTGACAGAGCTCCAGGGTCCCAGTGGCTGGAGCCAAGTGCAGGGGCTGCAAGAGTGCACACCACCCCCCCAGGCACGCGGCTCTGCAGCCAACACGGGTGGCAGTGGATGGGCTGCCACTTACTTGGCCAAGCGTCTCCACACCAGGTATCCCCTCTCCCCAGGTCTCTCTTTCTCCCTCTAGATACAAAGCCTGGGAGAGTCAAGCAAGAGATAAGATCACAATTTCAGCCCGTCCCGACAGAGCGATCTTATCAGGACGGGACTTGCAGAATGGAATATTTTAAACTTTATCTGAGCCCAGATCGGGGCCGCCCTATCGCCGCACCATCTCGGAGGTGCGGGGGAGGGGCAGGCCGCGAGGTGGCCGCGCACCGCCCAGGCCGCGCCCCCAACTACCTTCCTCCCAGCCCTCTGGGCGGCAGCCCTTCTTGGGCCGGACCCCGGCGCCCAAGCCGACGCGGGGGCCCGGCCGGCCGGCGGAGATTAGGTGACGGCGCGCTTGGCACACAGAGCGGGGGGCGCGGCGCGGGGTGAAGGTCGCCGGCGCTCGAGGGCAGAGCGGGGCCGCGAGGCCGTGCGGGGGCGGCGCTCGGCTGCGGGGCCCTGGCAGGGGTCGGGGGAGCGGCAGGCAAAGTTTGACTCACGCTTGATCTGCCGGGGGTTGCTCTGTTTTCTCCTGGACATGTCTCCGGCGCCGCGCGCCTTCCCGGCGGCCGCCTCTAGCCCCTAGCGGGCGGCGGCGGGCGGCGGGGGAGCGGCGGGGCCGCGGGGCAGCTCATGCCCCCGGCCCCCGGGCTCCGCGGCCGCCCCAGTCCGCGCCCCCAGCCCGCTGCTCCTGGCCCGGGAGTCTCCGGCGTGAACGCAGAGGCCTGAGGCCACAGCCCAGCGCTGCGGGCGTGCGGACTGCCCGCGGGCCGGTGGGCGGCTGGCTGGTCCCGGCTCCTCCACTCCAGCGCGCACGCCGCGCAGCTCGGCTTTTCTCAATGGAGCCCGCGGGCTGCGAGCGGCGAACCGGCGGCCGCGGCAGGGGGGCGGCGGGCGGGCGGGCCGGCGAGGGGCGGGGCCTCCACTGGGCGGGGCCTGCGCGGCGCCTGTCTCCTTTCGCCCCGCCTCGTCTCCGCCCCCGGAGTCCGGCCCGCCCCCCTGGGTCTCTCGCCCGCCCGCAGCCCTGCCCCAGGCGGCCTGGACTTCCCCTCGCTGGTCCCGCCCCAGGCCCCGCCCACCTGGGCCTTCTGCACCCCGGCCCCGCCCCTGGCCCTGGGCAGAGCCACAGCCTCCTTCACTCCTCCTTCGGCACTGAGGCTGTGTCCCCAGGCCGGCCTGGACTCGGCGACCTACCCTGTCCCGCTACCCAGCCGCTCCAGGTCCTGCCGGGATCTGTCGTCTCTAGTCCCGCCCCTTGGCACCATCTCCGCCCCCAAAGCTGACCCGACGTGGTTGGACCCTGAGACCCCGTGGGCCCCGCCCACGACACTCTGGCCCCGCCTCTATTCTGTAGCCACGCCCCAATAACTAGGCCCCGCCCCAAGCACCCGCGCTGTGGGGACCGGGAAGATCTGGTCGGAAATCTCCCGGACTTGCGTGTAGGGTGGTTTCTGGACCGGGACTTCCGACTGAGACTGCGGTGATAGCTCAGACCGGCTGGAAATAGGGGAAAGGGCGCGGAAGGCAGCAGCCCTGGGCATTGCCCTTTGGTACCTCTCTCGTCGCTGGCCAGGGGAACCTCTTCAGGGCAGCCCGCTGGAGGCCCATGAAGGACAAGCCCCGGCTCACATTCCCTGTCCCGCTTGGGACAGTCCAAGGCAGCCGGGTCCCTGGAGGCAGTACTGTCTGTTCCAGTCCCCAGAAACGAAGAAAGCTGTGGATCAGGGACTGGCTCAAGGTCACACAGCAGCCAGATGGTGTTGTTATCCTCATTTTATCCTATTTCTTTCACAGACGGGGTCTCCCTGTTGCTGGGGCTGAAGTGCAGCGGTGCCGTTGGGGCTCCCTGTAGCCTGAAGCGACCCTCCCACATCATTCTCACTGGCTGAATCGTGTAATATTATTTTGTTTGGACATTCTTGGTTTTCATTTAATGCTTGCCCCCTGTCTCCATATTCATAAGAAGCAAGCGTTAGCAGTGTCCAGGGGCTAAAAGGAAGGCCTTTGCAGAGAAGACACCCGGGCCCCGTCACACAATCATTCCCACCAGCATCCTATACCAGGGCTGCTGAGTGCTGTGCGCTCTGCTGAGACCTCATCTCATTCTGACTTCTGCGCTCTGTGCCCAGCTCTGTGGCCAAGGAGAAGGGGAGAGACACCCCCAGAGCCTGGCTCTCTTGCCTGCCCCTGACACCAGCCTCAGGGAAGGTCACAGAGCAGGGCAGTGGCAGGCAGGACAGCAGGCTGGAGTCGGCCCCAATCACCCATCTGTTGAGATAGAAACTCTGGGGCCAGGAGGCCAAGAGATTGGCCCAGGGTCTTGTGGTCAAGGGTCACGTGGCTGAGGGTCAGCTTGCCTTGCTCTCTGCCCATTGCCCTCCCTCAGCTGCTGTCTGGGGAGGGTGGCCCACATCTGACCAGTTCATGTAATCCTGGGTCCCCAAAATGTTTGTCAGCTGTGTGAAGCACCCTACCTGTCTGGGGTTCCCACTGGGCCTTGCTCCTTACCAAAGGGAGGCCCCTCTACGGGACTGGACCCGGGAGCAGGGACAGATCCCTGGAGGAAGTGGCCTTGAGCTGGCACCTGTTCTGGGTCTGAGGCTCCCAGGCTGGCACTGCTGAAAGGCCACTGTTGAAAGATCTGTGTTGAGGTGGATTCTGAGGGTCAGCAGGAGGAAGAGAGCCTTGTTCATTAATTTGTGACGTCTGTCCAGGGTGCAAGAGAAGATGGATGTTACTTTGGCCTCTTTTTGCCTGACCTGATTTGTTTCTATGATCCCATGTATGGATGAAAAAACTCAGGCTCAAAGATCACCCAGCAACTTAGGGGCAGGGAGAGGGTCAAAAACAGAGCCTGTGGACCCAGCACCATCATTTGTGGGGCCCTGTGCAAGATGAGAATAGGAGAGTGTGGAGCTGTATGAGGAACTTAAACATTCCAGGGCACAGGAAGCAGAGTGCCAACCAAGCTGTGCCCTCCACAGGTCCCCAGCCCCCCTGTTGATCTGGGCAAGGGCCGTTTCTGGAGCACAGTCCTCCTACACTCTGTCCCTCCACCTGCCAGGGAGGGGGTGTTATACAGATGAGGAGCTGCAGCTCTGGAGGGGAGGATGATGGCCTTGTACACACCACTGCACCCTCAAGGAGGGAGTCTACTGATCATGACAGGCTTGGGGGAGCCCAGAATTGGAGCAACCACTTCTGCCTAGGGAGACCAGGGAAGGCTTTCTGGATGAGGTGACATTAGGTGGGACTTCGTAGGAGTCTCTGCTCAGGTAGAAGAGGAACAGCAGGGTATGGGGTCCCCACTCAGGAGCGATGTCATCGTCACAGTCAGCATAACTTGCACTTCCTGGGCCATTTTTTTTTGGGCTGGTCTGTGTTCTTTTGGGACCTTGTTCAGACCCCTGAAGGTTATGCCAACCAGGGTCTCCCAGGCTGGAAGTGGCAGAGTGGGGACACATAAGAAGTGTTGTCATGGTGGTGGCCCAGAGGCCCCTCCCCATGAAAATGACTTCTGTCCAAAGAAGAGCAGAGCCCAGAGCAGGGGCTGCACAAGGCAAGGCAGGGCCAGCACAGACAGGAGCTTGGGCTTATCACAGGACACGTGAGTGAGCCAACATGCTCATAGTTCCTCCTGCCATGAGAGGCTCAGGGCCCCTGACCCCAACTCTGGGGTCTGCACCTTTATGGGGGGGCATGGAAGAGCCACTCAGGGGTAGCCTATGAGGCTCCCCACTCTCCCTGTTCCTGGACCTATGTCAGTGCTCAACTCTGGGTTTGGATAAGTGTACGACAGTGGCCACATCCACCACACTGACGTATTGCCTGCAAGCCACACCAGGTCAACGTGAGTTCTGCACAACCTGCTGGGGTGGGGGCTCCAGTCACACCACATTATAGAGGCAGAAACCAAGGCTCAGAGTGATTGAGCTACTTAGTGACAGAGCTAGGGTATCACCCCAGAAAAGCACCATCCGGAGCCCAAGTTCTTATCCCTGGCTGGAGGTAGGCAGAAGCAGGTTAGACCTTGGCTCTGCCTCTGGGAGGTGTCCTGGACATCCTCAGGCCCCAAGCTCTTGGCTCCTGTCCTGGTCTCTGCCCTCTGCCCTGTGGGCTGGCAGCATGAGCCTGGCTCCCTGATAGGCTTGTGCGCAGCTGCCCCAGACTAGGAGGGGGCTTGTGTGGCACTTCTCATATACTAGGCCCTTCACTGGCTGTTGGGCTGTGACTCAGGGAGCTACAGAGTGCTTCAGAACTCCAAGGGGACCTTGAAGGACAGAGGGGATGATCAAGGAAGGGTGATGGGAGAAGGGCACTTCCAGCTGAGGGAATAGCAGGTGCCAATGCTGGGGGTGGGGGAAGTCAAGGAAGGGCTGAGAGTGCCTGGGGTTGCTGCAGCTGGGATGCATGCCAAGGTCTGGCCAGATGAGGCCTCTGCATCTAGTTTGCACCTGACTCCTCTACATGTTCCCCACAGTGTCTGTGATGTTGTGTCCTCAGAGCTCTGAGGTGCTCTGACACACATTGCCAGCCCACCCTGCCCTTCCTTACCCACTGTCCACTACCCTAGCTGGTCCTCCACTGCAGATGGAAGCCAGTGGGACTTTCCTAAGACCCATCTGTGGTAACCTCAAACCTTGTCCTGCCCTGCCTTAATCTTTGAACTCTCCCAGTATGTGGATCCAGGCATCCTATGGCCACAGCGCCTTTGCACAAGCTGTTTTAAGCTGCCAAGTGCATTCTTACTGCCCATTGCCTGGCCTGGCCCACTCACCTCTCCTGAGAGAATCCCCTGCCTGCCCCAGACTAGGGGAGACCTCTCTGTTCCTACCTGTGCGGCAGGCCCCGATGCCCAGCACTCGGCATTCAGCACTGGACATCTTACCCCAGCACTGTCAGGCTCAACATCACAGAGGGGCCTTGCTGAGCTCTGACATCCCTCAATGCAGTCTACTCACAACAGCTCCTGAGGAAGGGACTGGTAGGACTCCCATTCACCAGATGAGTAAACTGAGGATCAGAAAGGGAAGTCACTTGCTGGAAGCCACACAGCAGGCCAGTGGCAGAGCTGGAGTTGCTGCAGGAAACACAAGCTTTGGGCTGGCACTGGCAGCCACATCTGGGGAAGGGGTCCTAAGATCTGTCTTGGCCCCTGTCTGGCCAGGCCTCCCTCCCAATCCCCAGGCTCTCAAGCCACTGGCAGGCATGCCAGGGACCGTCCTGACATTTGTCAGCGCTGGCTCTGTGAAGGGTTTAATTAACTTCCTGTTTCAATGGAGGGATAATGAGTTTTAAGCACCACGTGACTCAATAAGGAGGTCAAACGGCAGCGCGGATGTCAAAATAAATTAAGTGAGGAACTGGGAGGCTGCCCGCTGGAGGGGGGAGTTCTGTGGGCTCCTAGGTGCTGCCTGGGCCATCCCCCTTTCTGGTAGGCCAGCTGCTGCCATGGCAGCCCCATCGCTGCTGGGGCCAGGACTGGCCTGGGGCCCCACAGTCCTGACAGCCAGCAGCTCTCACAGGCTCACCCTCTGACAGCCGCAGACTGTCCTTGGGTGTACCCTGGGAGGACAGTCATGCCCTGCCCAAGTGTGTCCCCTTGACCAGGCCAGGCAAGGTGACACTAGGCGTGGGCAGGAAGTTTCACCTGGACACTTCCTAATCTCTGAGACTGGCAACATCACAGACTTGTCTCGGAGCTCCCTCCTCTCCCTTCCCCCTTCCCTCCCTCCTTCTCCCTCCTTTTCCTCCCTCCTTTCCTTTCCTCCCTTCCCTCCCTTCTCCTGTTTCCTTCCTCTTTCATTCCACCCACAGGCATGTTGGGGGCCCCACTCTTGGCACCAAGATCTACCAGTGAACAACACACACATGTCACTATGTGTCGGGAAGAGGAAGAAGGGACAAATGGATGACAGACTGTGGACACATGAGAAGGGGGGGAGAGGCACTGGGGGGGCGTTTGCCACCTTGCAGGGGCTCTGGGGAGGAGACCCGGAGGAAGGGAGAGGGGTGCGGCCCAGGCTGAAGCTTGCCTGTGTGTGGCCCCGAGGCAGGCTGTGGGCTTAAGCTCAGACCTCCCCAGCCCAGGCGAGGCCAGAAACCCTTACACTCTCAGCCACAGCTCTGGGGGCTGTTAGCAATGGATAGATGTGACAAAACACTGGTGCTCAGAAGCAGAGGATGTGGGCAAGAGCTGGCACTGCCAGGTGGAAGAGGAAGCACATTTACTGTCTCTCCTGCCAGAGCAAGATTCTCCAGGGAAGAGGTGACTCTAGAGGGCACAGTGAGCCTACAACATGCTGTGAGATCTTAGCAGGGGCCAAGAAGGTCCAGTAGGCTGTAGACCAGACCAGAACCTCCCAGGAGAGTGGGGAGCTTTGTCCACAGCAGTCAGACATGTCCAGAGGTTTGTCTGAGGAGTTTTAAGAGAATTGTTCTGGGGAAGTGCTGTCAGATTAGATGGAAGGAGGCCCATGGACCCTCAACCTTTAAAGGAGGGGAACAAGGCAAGAGGGTTGCTTAGCCGGAGCAGAGAGAACCATGCTACTGGAACAGAGACCAGAGCAAAGCTCACAGCACCAGGGGTCACTTTCAGACGGCAGCACTGGGTCCAAACCAGCAGCCTCTGTATGAGTCTGGCTGGATTTCAGAAGCACTCAGACCAGTGACGGCTGCACCTCCTCTCTACTTCCCTGACCGGAGCATTCAGAGTGTCTGTCTTATGCCACACGTCCTACCCCACCTCATGCCTACCTCATGCCTATGCCATGAGGCAGAAGCATTCTTTACGAGGAATTACCTAGGGGGCCTTGCCACTTCTGGCCTAACCCAGATGGCAGGACCCTGGGCCTGAGCAAGACCCCAAAATAGGATGAGATTTCTAGGAAAGTCTTAGGAAGGGATGAGCGTTTTTTGCAAGTGGGAGGAATATAAATAATTTATGGGCAAAGAGCAACTTTGAGGGTTTTAAAACATGGCTCCCAAATTCTGTAACACTTCTCCCACAGGGAGGTCAAACTCAGGTGACTTCTTGCATCTGGGGTCTGTGGCTGCCTGACCAAGATATGGTAGAAGTCACCCTGCCAGCTTCCAGCCCTGCCCCTGCAGAGGCCAGCGGCTTCCACATCCTGTCTTTGGAGACAGAATCTCACTTTGTTGCCCTCAGTAGAGTGCTGTGGTGTCATAGCTCACAGGTACCTCAAACTCTTGAGCACAAGTGATCCTCTTGCCTCAGCCTTCCAAGTAGCTGGGACTAAAGGTGCCTGTTATAATGCCTGGTTATTTGTAGAGATGGAGTCTCACTCTTGCTCAGCCTGGTGTCAGGCGATCCACCCACCTTGGCCTCCCTATGTGTTGGGATGACAGGTGTGAGCCACCACACGCAGTGAGATTTTCAATTTTGGAACTCAGCCACCATGCTGGACAAGGCATCACCTCTCTGGATGCACAGGGTGTCCTGTGCACCCCTCCCTGCCTCAAGTGCCCCTGAGATGTGTTGGTGGCCCAGGGGACTCTGTGGCCTTGGGGGCAAGCCAGGCACACTGGGCTCCTAGCTGGGAGGGTTCGCATGGACAGTGACATGGCTGCCCGAGGGGCTGAGACTCAGGTCCACCCTCTCCCTCCCTCCAGTCCCAGCTCCCTTACGGATGCCTGGCCAAACACCCAGATGTCCCCAAAGTCTCTTGCACCCTTTCTGAGAATGCTGGTGGAAGGCTGCCCAGATGTGACCAGGGGCAAGCAGGCCTGTTGTGTGTGGGCAAGTGTCCATGTGTGGACACTTGTCTGTGTGTGCCCGTGCCTAGGGAGTCCGTGTGGGCGAAGCTGTGGTGGTTGTGCACACACGTGTGGTGTATGTGTGCCTGTGGTGCTGCATTTGTGCGTGGAGGTCCCGCTTTGTTCACTGGGATGTGGGGCAGGCACCGTGTACCCGGGTTCCCTGGCCGGGTGGATGCTGCCACCTGGTGGTCAGGAGGGGCTTCCACATGTTGGGTCTGCAGTCTGGGGGTAGAGGACAGTGCAGGCAGGGGAGGGGCCCCTCAGGCCAGTCCCTGAGCAGCAGCCCTCAGGCACTAGCCACTCCCCAGGCTGGTGGAAGCCCAGAGTGCCACCCAGAGCATCTGGCCAGAGCGGGTCTTGGTGAGTCCCCCAGGGATGCAGAGGCTGCTGTTCTCGGGCCCACCCAAGATTCACTGAGCTGAACAGGAGGGGTGCCCAGGACTGCAGACACCGAGGACCCACCAGATCCTTCCTCAAACACAGCCTGGACAGTGGCACCCTTGATCTACCCTGCACCAACCCCAACCCAGAGGTCCTGTGAGGCCTGAGGCCTGGACCCCCTCCTGGTCCTGCTCTCCAGCCCTGCCCCTATCCACGGCTCTGCCCTGTCCCCTCCCCTAGATTCCTCCCTGGAGACTGAAGTCCCTGACTCACAGCCCTGGACATGTTCCATGGCCCAGGACGCAGGCTATGTGGAGGTCCTGAGCCTTAGGGTGCACCTGCCTGCTTCCGGGCTGGGCACGTATCACCAAAGGGCTGGGACAGTGCAGATGAGGCCCCCAGGCAGGCCAGAGGGCTGGTTGCCCCTGTGGAGCTTCCCTCTGCAGGGGAAGAGAGGCAGCCTATGTATGACATGTGACTAGAGCCAGGGGCAGATGGGGGTGGCTGGGAGGGGCAGAGGCGAAACGTGCTCCTGGTAGCCAGAACTGCTGGGCAAAGGCCTGGTGGGTGGGGAGGCTGTGGGGGTGAGGGGGCCACATCATAGGCCCCATTACTCTGCCTGGTCAGGAGTCTGCCTTTGTCCCCCTTGGTGTATGCAGGACGTCAGCATCTTTGGGAGGCTCTTTAGGTCATGGGACCAAGGTCTGAGCCTGGGTGGAGGCCTCTGACCCCTTCCCTGCTGCCCCTACCCCCCAAGTCTCGATAACTGCTTCCTGACAGCCCCTCTCTCCCACTGGGCTCTCTGAGGACCCTGTCCAGGGCTGTGATGCTTAGGTGTCCCTGGGTGGCTCTGTAGCCCTGTGAGGGACCAGACAACTGAGCCCAGTGGATGGATGTCCCAGCGCAGCTCACTGGGGAGGAGTCCAGAGACAAGTCCCTGCTCACCTTCCATGACCTCTGCCCTGGCTTCGGTTTCCCACCTGGGAGTGTGGGATGACCCAGAGCCTGGTCTTATCCCCTGCCTGGTCCCTACTTGGAAATTGGTGCTTTGGGATCATAAAATCCTGTGAGCTCCTCTTGGGGTGGACTGTGGTCCCAGCCCTCGGCATGACTGTATGTCCCTGGTCCCCCTCTAGTCCTCCTCCCTGGGTTACCCCTAAGCTTTCCAACCTCCCTGTCCATGACAGGTTAGTCTTGAGGCACCAGTACCAGGAGGGGGAGCCTTTGTGGGGAACCCAGCTAGGCCCCTCCCTCTGTTTTCTGTGGGCAAAAGTAGCACCTGTCACTCTCAGGGTCCCCAGGTGGTCGCCTGCTGGAGGGGCATGGGTCAGCCTGCCTGAGTTGCTGGTCTCCTTTAGTTCCTCTTGGGGTGTCAGTGAGTCTTCAGGGGGTGCCCTCAGGGCCCCCTCTGGCCATGTGGTGGGTCTTGGACAGTTCAGTGGCCTGGGCTGGTGCTGGGCCTGCATGGGCCCCAAGATACTCTAAGTACCATGTCCTGGGCTCAGGTGGCGATAGGGGATAGATGCCATGAAGCTAGGAGGTCTCCTGTGAAAATAGTGGGATATATTTGAAAAGATGAGTTCACTGTGGAATGTACAGTACAACCTCAGGTCTCTCCATGTTCAATCTGCCGATACCAAGGAGGCATTCTGAATGGCCAGCCACATCTTTCAGAACGGCGATTTTGGCCCAATTTGGTTTCTTTTAAAATATCAAAATAAAAACTTTTGATACATACATTGCACCCAAGGTAATAACTAGAAAACAGAGCAAAATGGACCAAGAATCTTTGAGATACCTACAGAAAGAACAAAGCTGTCCCACCTACCCCGTTAAGACATGACTCTGTAGAAGGACATGCCCATAGATCATGGTAGTGCATGGGACACCTCCTTGACCGGGCAGCACCTCCATGGCCCTGGCATGAGTGTCCCCACCAGGCTCCTCAGACCTGGGCTCAGAGCCCAGCTGGGGGCCTTCGGGGAGCTGTCTCCCAGCCTACTCTTCTCCCCTACTCAATCCCCCAGGTACAAAAGACATCACGGAAGCCTTATTCACATTACAACATGAAAATAGCACCAGAAACTTCAGAGTAAAATTGCTGACACTTGGAACGAGGAGTTTTGTGAAGGAGGAAGGCTCTAAAAGGGGCTGAGGCAGGGGATGGGGAGGAGGAAGCAGGAACTTGCGGATAATCAGCCCTCTCCATGTTCCATATGGGAACCTGGTGCCCGGGTCAACGTATGCTGGAGCTGGGCATTTCCCTTGCAGCTTGAACAGGGCCTGACCCTGCAGGTAGGGGACCAGGCTGCTCAGGAGCCTGCCTTCTCTGTGTGGTTTCTAAGGTCACTTTGGAATTTTGCCCACAGCAGCGATGAGACTGAGGAAGTGGCTGCCTCGACTTACTTCCCTGCTGGGTGACTTGGGGTGGGGGGTGTGCAGCTCATGGTACCTGGGGCACGTTGGGCCCGGGCAGGAAGTGGGCTGCTCCCTTCTCAAGTACTTGGTGGTCTCAAAGAGGCTGCAGCTGGCACGTCCCTCACCCCTAGCTTTCCAGCATGAAGGAACTGCTGCCACCCTGGCCCTGACCAAAGCATCACACTTGCAGCCCAGACACAACGTCCGAGCATATACAAGACAAGGCATGTGGCCACAAGTTGAACCATGTGAGCCGAAGCTGGTGGGAGGGCGCCCGCTACCATAAATTACTCAGAAATGTCTTTCTTTAAGGGGATCTTGAAGCCAGTTAGTCTCTGCCCAAAGAGCTGGCTGAGGAGGTCACTCTGGGCCTCAGCAGTCCGGTAGTCATGGTCAGCAGGCTCAGCACCGTGGACAGCTCTGCCCCTCCTGGGGGGCCTGAGCAGAGGTCTTGCCTGGGGGAAGGTCTTGCCCTGTACATCTCTCCTGTGGGGGTGGCTGGGCTCTGAGGGCTGTGGCCTCTGCTTGCTGTTCTGGCCACTGGGTCTGGGCTTGGCTGGGGGCACACGGCTAGGGGTTGCCTGCTTTCGAGGGGCCCGGGGGGGTCTATTAGGGGCTGGGGGGACTCTCTCCAAGTTGTCTGCATTTTCACTGCTAGTTGACCCTGGGATTTGGCCCTTCTTTCTTTTCTCACCCCCGCCCCCCTTCTCTCTGGGGCCTGGGCTCCACTGTGGCCCCTGATCACCACCTCCCCTGGGCCCCTTGGTGTAGCCCTTGGCTTGGGCTCGAGGGGGGGTCTTGTCAGGTGTGGGGCTCTGGCTGGGGAAGTCAGGCTTGGCTGGGGTGGTGGCTGTCTCACTTTGGAGCTGCCCGCTGGCTGGCTGGGGCTGGCTCCCACCCCCAGTCTTGGTGCCAAGGTGGGGGCCCCCACTGCCCTGGGAGCTGGGCCCTGGCTTATCTTTGGGGGTGGTGGCCTTCATTCTGTTCTCGGTGCTGCAGGCCAGCTCTCCGGGCTCTAGGCTCCCCATGGTCCTCCTTGGCTGCAATGGGAGCTTGGGTGCTTGGCTGGGGGTGGACGATCCTGACCTGTTTTTTGATGAACTCCGGTAGCCACCAGGCTTGGTGGCATTGCCCTTGTGGGAGGGGCCCCCTGTCCCCACGTCAGGCATCAGGTGGCATGTGGCCACTTGCTTCTCCTGGAGCACAGAGGGGTCTTCCTGGGTACGTACAGGCGCACATTTGCCGCGGGTGCTCGGGGTCCTGCGTTTCCCTGAGAGCAGGATGGGAGCCCCCTTTTCTTCTGCGTCTTGGCCTCTGGTGCTTGTGTGGGGCAGCGATGGCCCTGATAGGACAGTGGGCTGGACAAAAGGCCCAGGGCTGCCTGGGGAAGCCTTATCCTCTGGCCTCCCTAGGACTGGGTCCAGCTTGCAGCCACCTCTGCCATCAGCCAAGGCAGCTGGGAAAGGAGATTGTGATGGGGGTGGGTGCACCTGGGGGTCAGGTGGCAGGTTGCAACTGCTGCCCACATGGCCCGCCGGGTCTACAGGCCTCTCTGGAGTATTGGGTGGTCCCTCGGTGGTGCTGGGAGCTGCCTGTGGACCAAGCTGGAGCAGAACTAGGTGGGACCCCTCACTTGGGGCTGGGCTGCTGCCCTGGGGCAGAGGTCTGTCCACGCCGGGACCCAGGGGGCTGCCAGGCACAGCCACCCTGCGCCGTTTGCTGGGCAGCACGCCCTCGAGGGCTGGGGCCTTCTGCCCCAGGGCTCCCGGCCTCCTTACTGCCCGGAAGGTGAGGGGCTGCTGCCCCCGCCCTAGGTGCTTATCCATGTGGCGGTCAAACTGCTCCTTCTTGGCGAAAGTGTAGTTGCAGGCGCTGCAGACGAAGGACTTCTTGATGATGCGCATGACGGTGGCGCAGAGTTCGCAGGCATACAGCGGGGTGTGCTGTAGCTCCAACTTCTCCCTCAAGCCGTGCGCCCCGCCCAGGTGCGCCAGCAGCTCGCGATGCTCCGGGTAGACGCGAGGGCACCGGGGGCACAGGTAGACGCGCTGCGGACTGTGCACCGCCAGGTGGCGCTGCAGTTTGAAGGGCTTGGGGAAGCGCTTCCCACAGTGGTGGCAGTCGCGGGAGGGGTCCTTGCAGTCCTGGTGCACCGGGATGGCCTGGAGGAGGGACTCGCTGCCGGACCAGGGGTCTGGAGACAGGCTCGGGGACGTCTTGGCGGGGACTGGGGAGGTGGCGGAGTTGCTGGCCAGAGCAGGGTGCGCGCAGGCCGCGGGGCTGCTGGCCTCCGCTGACGCATTGACCAGGACGCTGTCAGGCGTAGAGGCGCCATCTGGGCCCGAGGGGGTAGAGCTTCCTCTCCCTCCAGCTCTCGCCCTCTCCCTCCGGCTCTCTTTCCCGGCCCCCCTCTTTCCTGGCTCTCTAGGGGTTCCATGGGCCTTGCCTGCTGAGCGCTTGCCCCTGTGGGGTTTGGATGCAGGTTCCGGGACGCTGTTCAGGAAGTGGGAGAAGGCACTGCCACCCTCCAAGCACCTGGGCAGTCCCACCCTCTGCACCTGCCCCTTGCGGGCAAAGCGGACGGCGTGCTCCCGCAGGTGCTGGTTGTACATCCAGACGTCTGCCACCTCCTTCAGGCACATGCCGCAGGCCCAGGGCCCCGCCTTGCCCGGCAGGTGCTTCTCCCGCAGGTGCTCCCGCAGCAGCTGGCTGGAGCTGAACGTGCGCTCCACGCACATGTAGCAGGTGGGGGGTGGGGCGGGACTGTGCGCCAGCTTGTGCAGGTCCAGCTCACCCAGGCCGGAGAAGCGCTGGAAGCAGGCCCTGCACTTATAAGAGGCCCTCCTGCCCTTGGCTGGCTGCTCTCGGCTTTGTGCCCTTCTCTGTCCAGCTGCCTCCTCTGTCATTTGGTCCTGTGACTTTGCTGTGGCCTCAAAGTCGAAGAAATTTGGGCCAGAGAGACCCTCGGGGTCTTCAAAGGGTCCCAGGAAGCACAGGTCTTGCACCTCAAACTTGGTGCCCAGCACCCCAAAGTCCATGGCAGGCAATGGCAGCAGGCTGCTGTTCCCAGGGAGCCCATCATACCGTTCTTTCTCCAGGTTGGGGGGCTCAGGGCTGGCACCCCCCAGAGTAAGGGGTGTGTCATCAGTGGGGACCTGCAGCTCCCGACCTCGCCAAGCTGCAGGCACCATGTGCAGCTTGGGAATGGTCTCCAGATGGTCGTCCTCAGGGTGAAGGGGAAGCACCTTCTCTGTGCTGGCTTCAGTGTCAGGCTCCAGGGCCCACAGGCTGAGGCCAGGGACCTTGCTGCTGAGGAGTCCGTCCAAGAGGAAGGACTCAGGCAGGCCTGTGGCCTCGTCCTCCCACGGATCCTCGTGGGAGAGGCAGAGGGAGCCAGAGTCACTGAGATCTGTGGACAGGTGGGCACAGCACGGAGGGGAGCCACTCCTAGCCTCGCTGCTGGGCTTGGGCACCATCGGGAGCTTTGGTTTCTCACTGCGCTTCCCGTACACACGTGGGTTCTTCTTCCCTGTCAAGCGGCCACCCAGAGGAAAGAGCTGGGAAAAGGAGACCTCATCATCAAACAAGCTCAGTGGGTCCTTGAGACCCAGGCTGGAGGCCTCAGGAGTGGGACCTTCAGGTCCCTGGTCCCTACCCTGGACTGTTGGGTTGTCCAGGAGGCTTGCTTCAGAGCTGCAAGTCTCGGGAGGACCTGGGGGGCTGAGGGAGGGGACATGGCCCTCCCAAGCGCTGCTCTTGGCCCCTCTGCTGTCTTTTGCAGGCTGGCTCCTGGTGGCTTGAGGTGGCTCTCTGTAAGTCAAGGCCCTGGCCTCTCTTGGGCTCCAGGGCCCCCTTGCCAAGGTCTCCTCATGCTCAGCTGACCATTCCCCAGCAGACACTTCCTCTGTTCTCCTTTGACACATCTCTGGGTCTCTGGGCGTCCCCTCTGCACACAGGGCCCTGGCATCTTTCTCTGTGGCAGCCTCTATCTCCCTGGGCCCTGGGGCTACTGTAGGCCCTCCCTCTGGTGGGAGGCAGCAGCTCGGAGGGGCTGGGTGACTGGACACTGCAGCTGCTGGACTGGAGCAGGAGCCATCTGGAACCAGGTCAGGGGGAGTGGTCTCCCCAATCCTCCTTGCTTCCAGCTTTCCCCCTTTCTTCCTTGACGTCTCTGCTAAGTCGCTGAGGGAGCCTGCAGGCTCTCTGAGCCGCCTCTGGCCCTCTTTCTTGTCTGCCCGTCTGCGATGGAGCTTGCCTGGCTCTGGCTGGTCTGGTCTCCTGGACCTGGAGGCTGGGGGCTTCCCACGTATCCCACATTCTGCCAGGCCCAGGGAATGGGGCTTCTGGTTGGGTGGGGAGCCTGGTGTTCTGACCTTTGAGCCCTGGTCAGGAGGGGGCCCAGTGGTGTGGCTGGGGCTTGTTATTGAGTGGCACAGTCCATCCTTCCCAGGTGCCTTTCTGCTCTTCCTCCTTGGGGTCCAGCATGGTTGGACTGTGTGGCTTGGCGGGGAGTTGCCCTTGGGCAGCTGGTGCTTCCTGGCCTTGTGCCGGGTCAGGCCGGGCCTGGAGCGGAAGGAGGCCAGGCAGAACTCACAGGTCATAGGCAGTGTGCCTGGAGCCTGGCCCTTGCAGAGCCCATGCTCTGTGGACATGGGCTTCTTTTTAAGGCCCCGGGGATTCTGTTTGAGGGCTTGAGGACCTAGGGGTTCCTCTTGGGTTGTCTGGTTGGGGGTATTTCTGTGGTTTGGGGGGGAGTGGAGCCTGAAGTCACTGGCCATCCTGCTTGGAGATGTGGTCCTGCCCAGGCAGAGTCCTTCGGGAGGGCAGGGGACTATGGGGCTCCCAGCACCAGCCCAGGGCACCTCACTAATGCCAGAGCACCCAATTTCAGGCATCCCCACGTCCTGCTGCCCTTGGCTGCTGGCCCCCCCTTCACCTTCCAGGCAGGTATGATCATCTGGCCCTGAGGCCCCTACTGTAGTAGGGTCAGCGGGCACAGGCCGGGCTCCCTGGCCTTCCCTGCAGCTGAGGCGGGCACTGTTATTTGGAGAGGGTGGAGAGGGGCCGCTGGGCAATCCATCAGGGCTGGTGGGAGTCAGGTCTATGCTGCAGGGTGGATCTAGCACCTGAAGCCGTCTGGTGGCTCTCATCTCATCTTCGGTGGGAAGGCTGGTCACTCTGGGGGAAACAGTCCCAATGGGGGGAGGTGGGGTATCATAGGCAGGAGATACCCCAGGTCTCTCTTTTCTAGAATTTAGGGTGCTCAATGTGCTGTCCCCTGAGACACTGACGAAGCCAGGCTGCTGTGAGGGGGCATCTCCTAGGGGGCTGCTGTCCTCTAGGAGAGGGCAGTGAACCAGGACCTCCTTGGGGTCACAGGGCCGTGTCGTTAAGGGTGGGGAAGCCTCTGGGGGTCCCCCAGCTTCAGCATCTGTGGGGGCCTGGACACAGTCAATCCCTCCTAGAGGAGAAGCTGTCAGGTGTCCAGGGCTGAGTGGCTCCCCACTGGATAGGGATGGAGGGAATAGACCCCTCCATTCCCCTTGGGCCTCAGTGGAAGTCCAGGTAGTGGGGTCCTGCTGGGGCAGGTGCTTGAGGTTGCAGGAAATGGGGGTGGCTGGAGTGGTGTGTGATGGGGTACAGGTGGCCAGGCTACTGATGGGGGAGGCCAGGCTTGTCCCTGTGAATGGCACCTGTGTGTTCAGGCCTGGTCTGGTCGCCTTCTCCAGAGCCTGGTCCTCAGGCCCGTCTTGTGTATGGGCCTCTGTGGAGGGCTGCTTGAGGGACACTGCACCAGGGCAAGGGGGACTCGGGCTGGGCTGTGCCTTGTTCTGAAGGCCCGAGGCTGCCCTGCGTCCCTTGAGCACTGCCCCTAGCAGGGCTCCTCCCCTGGTGGGCCTGGCTGGTGTTGTTTTAGGGCCAGCACCCAGGGTGGGGTCATCTGGCTGAAGCTGGCTGGCTTGGCCTTGGCCCTTGGGCTCTTCAGCCTGGCTGAGCAAGCCCAGATGTCCATCTGCCTGACGTCCAGCAATCATCTCCTCTCCCCCTGGGGAGCCCCTGGCAGGGCTGTGGGCCACGTTCTTGCCTTTCACATTGTGCCCTTCTAGATTGGGGGAGTCCCCTCCCTGAGGCCTTGGGGGGTCAGCAGGTGGTGGCCCATGTGTGCCCTGGGGGTCATTTTTGCTCCCAGCTGCTTCAGTCCCCAGAGACTGGAGTTGGGGGATTGAGGTTGGGCCTTGGGGCCTCTCACCAGGGCCACTGTTAGGCATGCAAGCAGGACTCAGCACAGGGACAAGCTGAGCCTCTCTGCCTGGGGGGGCCATGCATGAGGAGGCCCCTGCTGGTGTAAACTCACTACCCTCAGAGCCAGGCCCCTCTGCTATGGAGTGAAGGACCCCCTCTGACCCCCCTGTCCTGCCTCCAGAGGGTCCCAGGGTGGCTTTGCTGCAGTGGGCCCCAGGAGGCCAGATGACGTCTAGATGGAGAGCTCCATTGTCCCGAAACAGGTCAGGTGCCAGGTAGGCACTGGGGCTACTGAATGCTTCCGGTGTGGGGTTCTCCTTATGGGACCTGCCTGCCTTGCAGGACTCTGGGGAAAGCCTCTGATCACAGGCACAGGGTAGCAAAGTGCCTTCCCCTTCTTGTGTTCCCACGATCTCCTTATTTTTGGGAAATGGAAGATCCGAGTTTGGGCTGCACCTTGCTAAACTCTTAGCACTCAGCAGGGGCTCCAGCTGCTTGGTGGGGTTGGAAGTGCCTTCTCCTTCTACCTTGGAGACTCTGGCTTTCTGCACCAGCTGAAAACTGTGGCTGGCCTCCACGGGGCCAAAAGGAGCCCCAGAAACCAGGTCTTCCTGAGTGAACAAGGCTGGGTGAGGCCACTGCCCCAGGGGTCTCCTGAGAGCCTCTTCTGTGGTGACCATGCATGGTTTTGCACCTTCCTGATGTGAATTTGATTCCCCAACACCAGTGAGGTCAGCTGCAGAGGACGTGTCCCTGTGGGTCAAGGTGGTCTGGTGGGTGGGCAGAGGTGAGGATGGTTCCATGCTTGTGCCCGGGCCCACCTTGCCCACACGCTCAGCTTCTCCACCTGCCCCGGGGGCCCCGCGTGGGTCTTCACTTCTTTGCAGCTGACTTTCTAGTTCAGTGACCAATCTCTGGATCTCTAGCTCGTCCTCTGACAGGTGGTTCATAAAAGTGGAGCCACACTCGCTTCTCTTCCCAGGCGGCAAAGAGGGAGGGCTGGACACCACTGTCCCCACTCCAGGACCCTGCTTCCTGAAGCCCTTTCCCTCTGCAAGGTCAGAAAAATGGCTGGGCAGCACCGGGGATACTTCTTCAAGCAGCAAAATTGTGGGGTACTGAGCACTGACCTGGGATTTCTCCTGGGGAGGGCTGGCACCTGCAAATGGCACATGGGGGTCCCTGTGTGCAGGTAAGTTGTCATAGAGGGGTGGGCCAAATCCGTCCATGGGCAACCCTGAAAAGAGGGACGTGGACTCCAAGGTCAGTGGGGATGCAGCTTTGCCTGGGTCCGTTTCAACTGTGTAAGATGAATTCTTAGGTGGTTTCAGCTTCAGGGAATAGGTGTCTGCACTGTCATCACAGAGATAGGGGCTGCCAGCTTCTGGTGTGTCCACAGCTGCAGGTGTGGAGTACAGGTCATCTGGGAAACAGCCAGCCAGGTCTTTGGGTCCAAGGAACAATTCACTGGGGGGCCTGCTACAGGGATGGGGTCCCTTCTTGGCACCTGGAACTCCCGTGGAGAGTTTGTTAACATGCGCAGGGCCACCACCACTATCAGAGTTCTCTGAGAACAGGATGCTGGGTTCAGGGTGGGCAGCATTTATGGCGTTAGCAACAGGCTCTGGAAATCCCCCTGGCTGGTGGGCAGAGGAGTCCTCTCTGACACAGGGGACAGGGGGCCTCATGTCCCCAAGAGCACGCACCAGACCGTCTGCAGCCGATGTTGGGGACCTCCCTTGGGGCATGGTGTCAAGGAGGCTCCCCAAGGGCTCGGGGCTGCTGTCCTCTCTGTCAGACTGGGGCTGCTCTGGAGGTGGTGGCCTAGGGCTGTCCTTTACACAGGCGGCTGAAGGAGCACTTGAGCCCTCTCTGAGTTCTATGGTGTCGGGGGATAACTCTTCAGCAATTCCAGGCTTCTTGGCCTGATGGGGGTGGTTTTCCTCTGGAGTCTTGGTGTTTGGGGGAATCTGCAGGGGAAGCTGGGGGGCTGCCGTGGGGTGGTCAGCACAGGGGGGGCCTCTCTCGTTGGCCTCTGGGCTTGGTGGGGAGCCCAGGGAAGGCATGTGTGGTTGCTCTGGGCTTGGTGGGCAGCCATGCTCCCCCGTGTCCTGCATCCCTGCCTTCCTGGGCTCTGGTTCTCTGTCCTCACTGGTACCCCAGGCCAAGTCCAGGTCCTTTCTCTTCCCCCGCTGGTGTGAGCGCCGGCAGCTGCGGCGGGGCCGGCCCCTGAAGCCACAGTCCTTCTGCCGAGGAAGCTCGTCCTCTGACTCTGAGGCCTCCTTGAGCTTCCCGAGCCTGTCTTCCATGCTGGGCTGGGGAGCCTTGGCCACTAGGGAACCGCGCCTGCTGTGGGGCTGTGCCTGCCGCTGCAGCCTGTTCTTCTGCTGCACGATCTTGTGGATCAGCTCCTTGCTCCAAGTGCCGGCTCCCGCTTTCCTTCTCCTGGGGTCCTTCCTGGGGGAATCCCGGACATGCCTGGTGTTCCTGGTCTCCTCAGCGAGAGGGGTAGACCTTGGGACTTGGGTGTCAGGTTCTGTGCAGCCCTTAGGGGCCTGAGTCCGGAGGTCTCGGCCGCAGCGCCGGGGCCACTCTGCTTGGCGGTCCTTCCTCCTGGGCCTCAGGCAGGTGGCTTTGGTGCCTCCGTCAGCCCCCTTGGCTGTGTTGGCCGTGTCCAGGTCTTTCCGGAATAGCTTCAACTGCTTTCCTCTCCTCTGCTGCCTGACGAGGCTGGTGGCTTCTCCCTCTGAGGGTGTCAGACCCAGGGAGCGAGTTTTGGGTCTGCTTTGGGCTGGGTGGCCCCCATCCCCGGGGCGGGGGGCTTGTAGTTCCAGTGTGGCTGCTGCAAGCAGTGGCTGGTCTCTGTTCTCTAGAGTTGTCCCCACCCTGGTCTTGGGGGGCTTCCCAGCACCAAGTCCTCTGGGGCCGGAAGGTTCCTCGTCCGCAAAGACATCAATGAAGCTGCTATCGATGTCTGGACTGTCTGGCTGGTGCTCCATGCCATTCAGGGCCTCAGTGATGAGGCTGTCCAGCTTGGCGTCATCCTCCATGTCCAGGTCTGTGGTGGGGAGGGGCAAAGGGGTGGTGGCCAGGCTGGGCAAGAAACTCATCCTCAGGGAGTCGTCTTTGCCTTCTTCCTGGATGTCCCCAGAGGACAGGAAGGGGGAAGTCTTACTGTGGCTGAGCAGGCCTGGGCGCGTGTCAGCAGCTGCTTTGGGGGTGGTGAGTGGTGAGGGGAGCCCCGGGGGGCCCTGGGGCTGCTGGTGGCTGTCCCTGGCCCTGGCCAGGAGCAGGCCGCAGAACTGCCGGTGTGCCAGGAAGGCGGCTAGACTGCTGTAGTTGCGATCACACTGTCTGCAGGTAAGCAGCACGTCCAGTTGGGCCAGGCTGGCACTGCTGAGGGACAGGTGGTGGGCAGAGCACGGGGGTGGCTCGTTGGGGAGTGGGGCCTCCTCCAGGTCCCGGAAAGCACCCTCGACCCCCAGCCTGTCTGGGGGGAATGGGAAGGCCTTGGCTGGCTCTGGCTGGTAGTGGGTGGGGTGGGCATGTGGAGGGTCTGGGGATGGGTGGAAGAAGGCTGGGGGCCCAAGGGGGCCAGGGAGCTGGCTCTCCTCAGAGCTGGGGTTGGCTGGGCTGCTGGACAAAGGTGACAGGGAGGAACAGGTGCTGCCGGCAGCATTGGTGGCTGGCGAAGGCAACGGGGACTCACTGGGGGAGACTCCCACCACCCTGGCCGGGGGCAGGCTGGGTGTCCCTTGGGGTGAAAGCTGGGGCTGAGCCACTCTGAAGAACAGGGGCTGTGCTCCTGGGTCCTTGGGCCCACTGTAGGTGAACAGCTGGTCTGGACTGCTGCTCATGGCTGCCAGTTTGTCTCCAGACCCAGGTGTTCGGCCAGTGGTGCCCAGGGCTCCCTGGCTGCCCCCCTGCCACTCTGGGGCTGCAGTGGGGAAAGGCAGCCGGTTCTGCACATCCATTGGGTGGGGACTCGGCCCAGCGGTTGGGAGCACCTGGGCCCAGGGCAGCGGGGGACTCTGGGGGAGGCAGAGCTGCTGGCTGGGGCTAGGCTGGCCTTCGAAGAATGTATTCTGGTTGGTGCCTTGGGGGCCCAAGGGAGGTGTGGGATAGGGGGCTGCTGTGGGGTCCCACAGTGGGGGTAGTCTGGTGGGTGAGGGCCCTGGAGTGGCCAGCTCAGTGTCCAGAGGTCCTGGACTAGTGTCCACCCTGGTTCCACATGCCTGTCCTGGAAAGCGTCTCTGGGGCAGGGGTTTCAAGGGTCCCCTTGGGCTCCCCAGCCCATCCTGGGCTGAAGGTGGCCTGTCGGGAAGGACTTTGGTCAGGCTCTTGTGCAAATTGTCCGAGAAGGGGGTCGGGGTTGGGTGAGTGACCCCCGGGGCAGAGAGGGCACTGCTGAGGTCTCTGGAGGGGTTGAGGCTGCCTGGCTGGCCCGGGTAGCAGGGCAGGGCTGGGAGTGCAGGTGTGGCAGGTGGGTAGGCTGGGCCTATGCCCACAGCCTCCCCTGGCCACGCACCTGGGGCCTGGTGGAAGGTGAACACCAGCATCCCGTCAGCATACTTTTGCCCAGCTGAGTCTGCAGGGAAAAGCTTCGTGCCCGCCCGGTGTAGTGCCGGGAAGGAGAACGGGAAGGAGACCCCTTTAGGGCTGCCGCTTGGCCCACTACCTTCAGGAAAAGGCTCTGGCTCCGTGGGGGGAACCCCAAAATTAGCACCTGGGAAGCTGTTCTCAGCAGCGAGAGGCCAGGAGTTGGCCCCACTGGCCGGGAATTGCGGATAGGAGGCTGGCCTGAGGGGGCTGGCACCCCTGCTTGGGGGGGCCCGCAGGGTTGGGGGCCCGGGGGTGGCGTTTGCTGAGGTATGGTTGGTGGAGGTAAAGCTGGAAGGGGCCTCTCGGAAGCACCTTTGGAAACTGAGCTCCAGCTGGGCCTCGGCCCTCGGAACGCTGGGCCTGAGGGGAGCTTCAGGCTTAGGTCCCTGGGGGGTCTTCGTCTCTGGGAGTTGGGTGGCCTCAGGCTGCTGGCCCTCAGAGGCCTTGTCCAGGGCAGGTTTGACCCTTGAGCTGGCAATGCTTAGACTGTACGTCTGTGGGGGGCTGTTGGCCACCCCACCTACCAGCCGCATATGAGCCTGTGAGGGGCTCCTTAATGGGGGTTCCTGGGTCCCACCCCCCTTCTCAGGGCCACTGCCCAGGGCCTGGGTTCTCAGGAGTGAGGCCTTGGAAGCCCCCACCTGGGCCTGCCGCAAATGGGCCTCCCGGGTTTCCACAGCCTGGGTCCCGCAGCCAGCCTCCCTTGCGCCCTTGGCGGGCCTGCTGGCCGGGGCATGGTCCTTGCAGGGGGGCTGGCAGTGGTGCCCTAGGCCACTGGCCACCTGGCAGGGCTGCCGGTCTCCAGTCCTGGCCAGGGCCGGTGCTCCTTGGGGCTGCTCCCCAGGCATGGCCCCTCTGTGCAGGTGCTAGGAGGATGTGCTGGTCCGAGGGGGGCTGCGGGGAGTGGACTGGGTGGTCATCCTTGCCCCTTGAGGGGCCTGAGGGAAGCCTGTTCTCATGGTCCTGAGTGGAGCCTGCAAGGAAAGGGTAGAAGTGAGAGGGGCTGTGGGGGTGGGTCCGGGCAGGGCCCACACTGGCCTGGTGGCCTTTCACAGAGCCTGCGGCCAGGCAGGGGGCAGATGGCCCTGAGCTCAGGGGGAGGGGTTGTGGTTCAGGTAGCATGCTAGAGGAACAAGAAGGGAAAACTGCAGAGGAGAGGGAACTTCCTGGGGTCTAGGGCCTGAGAAGGCCACTGCCTCCTCAGAGCATCCCTGCTGGAGTTGGCCAGGCCACGGATAGGAGAGTGCCCTGAAAGGTACATAAGCTCCAGGCCTGCAGAACCAACCCAGGGCAGTGTTGGGGGAAGCCATGAGGGGCAGAAGTGGATTCTTGCACCTGCCTGGACACGAGGAAGGTGACATTGTGCACATCGGCATGCAGCCTGTGGCTCACACTTGCATCTCCGAGGGGCCCTGGAGTCCTGATGGGCATCCACCCTGCCACCAGCCAGGGCTCCCTACCTGCATGGGATGGCTTTCTATACCCCTCGTCCCTGCTCCAGGCTGGGGCAGCCTCTGGAAGGTGCCGGCTTCTGTTCCTGATCTGTGGAACTCTGCCCAAGGCCACCTAGCTCCTGGGTTCTGTGCCAAGGACTTGGGGCTGGGGTGACCGTGGCCTGCACCTGCAGCCTTGGTCATATCTCTCCACCTCTGGCTGAGCCCACTCCCATTCCAGTGGCCACTCTGTCTCATGTAAACACTGGGAAGGGGTCTTAGTCATAGCAGGTCCTCCTGGGGGCATGCCCCTGCTCATTCCCTGGTACCCACCAAGGAGGCTCTCAGTGCTAGGCCACAAGCCAAGGCCACGAAGCTTGACTGTGGCTGGGGTGCCTGCCCAGGGGAGCCTGGCTCCCTCCTTGATCAAGGCCTATTTTAGTCAGCTATTCTTTGTGCTCTGGGTCACATGTGGGACCGTTATCTGTGTGGCTGGGACTCAGAACTGAGGCTGAGACACTGTCCTTGCCACCGAGCCCTAGGTCCTTACAACAGGCGCAGAGAGGCCCAGTGACCTGGCCAAGGCCACACAGCCCCCAGGCAGTATAGCTGGGAGCTGAAAGGATCAGTCTGGACCTCCAGGATCTCCAGGGCTTCCCACTCTGAGACCACCTCGGGGCTTGTAATTGAGGGACCCCAGGCCCACCCACTGCTACTTGGTACTTCCTGCTGTGGGGACCTGCCCTGAGACCATACCCCTCAGTTTGGGCCAGGGTCTGCAAGGTGGGTGAAGATCTGGTACTCCCCAGTGGAGGACACCATCCTGCTCCCCAGCTAGGCCACTTCCTCCTCTGCCCCCACCACTGAGCTCCCTCCCCATCTCATCCCATTAGCCTGCAGAGAGGTCCCCTCCCTGCCTCTGGGTCCCACTGGCCATTGGGTGAAGGGCTCATGGGCAAAGCTCATTGAATGACTGAATGATAATATTGATAGCAGTAACTTCCCAGCATGCTCCCTTGTCCTCCCAGAGCTTGGAAATATCAGAACTGACTGTCACCCTTGGGGCTGAATGGAGGCCTCACAGCTATTGGAGGGTGGGGTCTTCCCAGGAGGGGCACCTCCTAGCCCTGCACACCCCATTGTTTCCTGCCCCATTTGGGCTCAGCCACCTACTTGGGGCCAGGATTCTGGGTGTGGGGACAGCAGCTGCCAGGGTCTCATCTTATGGGGGACACCCACACCCTGAAGTTAGGAGCCTTTAGCTCAGAGTGGGGACCCCAGCCCAGCTGGGGCATTGGCAGCCTTCCTGGAGGAGGTGCTGGTGCATGACTTCTAGCTGGTGGCGAGGTGTATTGGTTTAGGAACAGCTATGCCCCAAGTCCTTTCTCTAGGAAGGTGCTGGGTCTGATGTGGTGAGATCCTCTGGCTCTGTGGCCCCCATGAAGAATAAGAAGTGGTGCTTCTGTCCAGCCCACCCAAAGCCGTCTGGTAGCCCAGTTTACTCTCCTCAGCATGGGTGTAGGGGTGGGGGAGCCATGGATGAGGGCATCTGCGGTCAACAGCAGCTGGCCAGCCTCCATGCCAGCTGCCCCTTGTACATACCTGGGGAGTCAGGGGCCCCTCTGCTGGGTCGCCGCACGACTTCCTGAGCAGTGAGAATTTCTTGGCTGTGGAGAAAGTGGAAAGCATGTCAGGATCGGTGTGGAGCTTGGTTCTGGGCCGAGAGCCCTGGGGAGTGGGCAGGAGGCAGGGCTGGACGTGAGGCCCCCTCAGGGCACCAGGAAACTGGGGCGGGAAGGCAGCAGCGAGTAGAGGAGGCCAGCCAGGACCCCAGAGGGCTTGGGGGTCAGTCGGCTGCCTTGGTAGCACATTTCATGTTTATTTTATATTTCTTTTTGTTAAGTTTTTATTTTCACATAGATTATACGTTCATGTGGTTCCCAAACCCAAGGCCCTGTGGAGAGGTCAGCAGCAAGATGGCTCACTCTACTCCCCTGGCCGTGACCTTCTCCCCAAATATTACCAAACACAGATTAATACTCCCACTTCCCTCCTCTCCACTTACAGCTCCCTGTCTCAGCTTGGTCCTTAATGAGGAATGCTAGGGCCTTCACCACACATTCCCTAATGGAGTCCCTGTCGGTCCTCATCATGATTGCAGAGTGCCAACTGATTATGTACCCAGTTCTCCCTGATGGCCATTGGACACTTCCCACAAGATGCCTTTGCAAAAACCCACCATGAATACACACACAGGTTAGAGCATGGGTGAACGTGAGGGACGGTGGCATGGCCACATGCATTTGCAATGTGGGCAGAGACTGTCAGATTAACACTGCCGTGGTTTTAAAATACATGGTCATGCGTTCTTTGCCACCACCTGCCCTCCTTTCAAGGTAGAGACTAACTCCCTCCACTTGTCCAGCAATAATTCACTGAAGACGGGAAAATGAGGGTGTGCGACTTCACTTTTTTCTAGCGAGTGATTCTATTGGTTTAAGATGAGCTGGGTACCAGGTAATAAAGCCGTCTGGTGGGGAAGAGGGTGGGGATGCACAGGGAGGCACAGCCCATGTCCTCTGTCCAGAAGTTGTGTCCCCATTTTTGGCATCTCTGGTAGGGCAGGACTGGTGTCTCCACAGATTCCATGTAAGTGGGATGGGGGAACCCAGGGAGAGTAAGTGAGATAATAAAGGGGAAAGGGGTGGGGGGAGAGAGAGGAAGAGAGAAGGAAAGAGAGAGAGAGGAAAAAGGGCTCTGAGAGATAGGTTTCTGGGTGTGTGCGCTTCTGTGTAAGGAAGAGAAAAGAAGAAAAGGGGGAGACAGACCCCACTCTCCTGTAGGACCCCATTCTTCCTGCCATGCAGTCAGCATCCCCAGTACTGAGAGAGTCTAGTTGGGGCGGGGATGACCCCATTTGCCCTTCTCTGTCTTGTGCTTCTCTTGTACTGGGGTTTGTCCTCTGGATGTCTGTGTCTTCAACAGTTGCCTTGTGAGAACCCCCATCCCCGTGACCCTGATGGGGCGAGATCAGCTGGAGGTGTCAGAGTGAACACTCCCTGGTCCCTCTGTTGGCAATGTCACCGAAGAGGGGGTCACAGCCTCCTGCCAGCTGCTGTTTGCTCCCATTCCCTGAGGGCTGTACATCTGGCCTGCCCCGAGGTTATCTCCATGGCCCCCTGGCCCCATGGAGTGTCGGAGTGATTCTACCTGGGAAGCAGAATAGGAATCTCCATTGAGCCCAGGCATCTCCAGGAACATGTCTCCAGATCCTGAGAGATTGAAAGAGCTGCCAGAGCCTGCAGAGGAAGGGGGTGTTGGGGAGCTAGTGCAGCTGTGCCCCACTGTGTGACTGACACAGCAGTCTTGACAGCATAGATGTTTGCCTCCTCTTGGAACTTTCCAATATTTTTCTTATACTGGATACACTTGTTGCCAAGCCAGTTGGAGACCTGAGAGACAGTGATGCTGCGCTTCTTGGCAAGCTCCTCCTTCGCCTCCTCACTAGGATATGGGTTACTCAGGTGGGAATAGAAATACTCATTTAGGACCTCAGTGGCCTGTTTGCTGGAGTTATGGTGCTTGCGTCTGGCATCTGGGAAGTGGAGAATGCAGGGTCATGACGGCCTCACAGGTGCTCTGCCTGAGCTGTATCTGGATGGCTCTGAACTTCCGATGGATGATGCTCACCATGCCCTCCCGCTCTGAGGGTGCCACAGGCCTTGTGCAGCTCTGCTCCCTCAGCAGGTTCACGACATGGGTTGTAAACTCATTACATGCCTGTTCATACTTCTCCAGCCCCAAATGGTAGATGTGGTGGTTCTGGGCAAGTTTGCTGCGATAGTCCGAGTGTTCGATGGGGTTGTCAGGGGACAGGCGGGCCCTGGATGCTACAAAGGCTGCAGCTGCTGCTGAGCAACCCCCCTTCTCAGGCCCAGCCACGCCCTCTGCCAGAAGCATGTTGTCCAAGCGCATCAGCTGTGGGTCCACCGGCTCCTCCTCTTGGGAACTTCGAATGCTGAAGCTGGTTTTCTCCTTGACCTCACACAGGATGCTAAAGAGAGCAGGCTTCATTCAGAGGCAGCTTAGGGCGTGTTTCTTGGCCTGGGCCTCATCCAGGCTCTAATTGATGATGGTCATTATCTGCTGCAGAATGTCCCCGATGTCTTGCTTCCCTGGGCCTCCCAGGACCTCCCTCCTGCTACCCCCACCAGGAGGCTTGCCAGGGCCCCCAGGCTCCCCACCCATCGACCCTAGGCTCCCCCATCCCGCCTGGAGGGGGTGGCCCCAGCAGCAGCTCATCCATAGCTGGGGGGAGGCCCTGGGGCCCCCTCTCTGTCCCTCCCTTCCCCCTGCCTGGTTACTGTGCCCCACAAATTCATTGGGGCCACTGCTCCCTCCACTCCAACCCCTGCCCGTCTTTCCCCCTCCCAGCTCTGCTGGGTTTTAT